GTCAGTTCGGTCGGAGCTGAACGGTGCAACTCTGCCCCATCTATGTTAGTGTAGAATTAAGTTGGTACAGTACTCTGATGGAATGGCCAGAGCCACGGGCCCTCGGGCTGAGGTACCGCTCTCCTCTCACTCGACTGGATTTCTTTTTGACTCTCTCAACTGCTCCTCTCTATCAAATTGTTCAGTGTTTTATAGAAGGACATGACTCCTCCTTGTTCGCGTCTTAACGTATTCCATTGGTTTATTATTTTTATTAATCATAAGAAAATTTAATTCTTATTGGTTCCTAGTATTGGTTAACACCCCTAAGTCACTTTCCATTCCCTATCTTGGTTGCGGTCATCCAAGTTTAAGTGGACAGGACACTTCCCTTATAGGACCACAGGAATGTACAATACTATAAGAGACAGGCACATAGCAATTGTCAGGATATAACGGAAGGTACGTGTACGATGTCATATACATCTCGTTAAATGTTTCAGAATTTATTTAACTTAATACTTTCTTTCATGATCAGTAAAAACTCATATGTCACTCAATTATTATGTTCAAATTCAAATTTAAGAATTCTTTATTCATTAAAAAATATATAATAAAGGTTCAGTAATGTTGATTTTAGAAAATTATAAAAGTTACCCTACCAATCTCTTGCTTTCTATTGACGTTAAGGTGAAATATCCATTTAACTTTTAAAATTTTAATTATATCTTTCATCAAAAATTTAGTTTAGAGCGTCTACGTAACAAACATGCACGGGATTCGTAATTTCAAAAATGGGATATTATGTATCTGATTATGCTAAATCAGATCTCAATTTATATAAAATTGGTAAACTTCTCCTTTAACTTTTAAGCATTGATTATACCTATTATTATCTGGATTGAGATTTCATCAGTATTAAGATTATACAGTGTTAGACAATTGTACAAGATACAAGATACAAGATACAAGTCAACTTTATTGTCAAAATAATACATTCTGAGATATTTGTTGTACATGACATAGAATCGTTCATAAACATATAGAGTGTTAAATAAAGATTTCTTAGACCATTTTCCGGGGACCAAGGTTTCTCTGCTGATTCGGCATCACTAGGGTATAAATAAAAAAATGAGCGGGGGTGAGCCTCCTGAAAAAATTTTTAAAACGGTTTGTGGATATTTTGTTTTGTTTATGTCTAACCCTTCCCGATCTATTTATGATAATGTCTGAAAATAATGGATGGGATGAATCTTGCATAATTGAATTAAATTTCTTAAGTAAGTATGTATGTTCAATTCAAACAAAATTAGATAAATTAATTGTAAAATGTAAAGTAAGTATATCATATTCAATATACTTATGTTTTAGACTCCAGTACACCTATCGTCACTGTGTATGACATCATTGACTTAAGCCTACTTGAATTGGAGAACCCAAATGAAGATGTAAACTTTACCTTTAGTAGGTGTATGTTGGCCGCTACTTGGTCAAGAGATGGATTCACTGGAGTTCCCGTAGAAAGGTTAACCCATGATGTTCATCGAACATTTTTATCAATTAGGCCTAAGAGAAAAATATTCTTATTATAAGCTGTTGTGTGTGTTTTTGCTATGATCATCGTTGTTGTCATCATTTTCATTATTGTCATTATGATATTACTATTAGACAACTAATATTAAGGTATTACTATTAAGGGGCTAATAATCATGTTGTCGTTAAGTTTATAATATAATAAGTAGAACATCCTCCTCTGGAACACCCCTGTTAAGAGGACACCTTTTTACTGAACTAAACGAGGGAAGGTATATCTTTTAACACTATTGGCAACCTCTCTATTCAAGTGCGTTGGGTGCGTACGCATCCCCCAAATCGAAAAACGTCCACTAATTATAACCAAAAAAAAATGTGACCTTGTTCCCAGAATCATTATAAAATGAATCGCATACAGTATTAAGATTGTATGAATGTACAAATGAGTTACAATAAGAATACTAGAGCGTTGACTCCAGTTTTGTACTGCCAGCAACATAACACAACAAAAATACACACGTAATATGCAAGTTATCGTCTAGGTGTATCTTCCCCTAACTACCAGCCGGTATGTCAGTGTATAGCAATGAAGTCAAAATGCTAGAATGAAACCCCGGTTTAGAATAAAAATAAAAATGTTGATTAATTTGTTTTAAATGCTTCTAGTTGTTTGAATCAGCTCATTTACAGTCGCTTTTAATCCACTCTTTATTCCAAACTTTGCAATTATTCATTTAAAAGCAGAATTGATTTTGAATTTTTATTCGTAATGGTTACACCACGAATTTATACAGTAGTATTTTTCATTTGGGAAACGATTTGCTTGTTTATCCATGTCGTCCACTGGTAATTTTTTGATAGGCCCTCGCTGTGTTCACGGACATATAGAGATTAACATGATAAAGTGCCTTCAAATTAGTCTACTAGGACGTAAGAAAGCAAATTTTTCCGGGGCCTTCGGCCCCTGGACCCCGACCGGGGGCCCTGGGCGGCTCCCGGCCCCCAGACTAGTTGCTCGCAAAACGCACCCCCATTCAAAAAGCTGGATAAGGGCCTGAGGTGACACCCCTATAATTAAGGCGTCCCCTTAATAAGAGTTTTATTGTAAGTTGAGTGCTACGGTATTCCTAATTTTAGGTATGAATGGAGTGCAGGTGATTTTTCATCAACATCAAAACAACCGAAAGGAATCTTCAATGCAGCAGTCGACCAAGTCTGGTTTGATGTCGGCCAAGAAACATCAGCTGTTCTTATGCTTGATGACGGTAAACTGCGCATGTTTATGTCGTATTTAATATAATTAGGCCTATTATAAATCAGAAGACTGGTTTATTTAAATGGTTGTCTACATCTTTATTTATGCCTTTCTTTCATATGCTTAAGTTTGCTTATTTATTATCAAATGTCATCGTATTTGTTTGATTCGAACAAATACGATGACATTTGTATTTGTTTGATTCGAACCCGGGACCATCTGCTGTGTATGCAGACGCCTTAACCAATATGAACAGTGAGGCTTTCATTTGAAGTTTGAATCCAATTATGGTATGCCGATAAGAAACTAGTATTCAATGCACACGTAATCCAGATCAACGTGATACGGCCTCTTATTAAGCATCTTAAACAACAAGATGGGATCTCCGAACAGATGCTTTTTATATAAGAAATTTGATTGACCAATCAGCATCACTGGAAGCGGTTGCAATAGCGGGTAGCGATTGTAGGGAAACCAAGCTTTAACCAGGCTAGTAATCAGTCAGAGGTTAAAAAATTATGTGCAAATGAAAGTGATGACGTCACCACTGACTTATAAATAATAATAGTTTCCCAAATGATAAAATATTTTGATTCCAAAATAGTTTTTATATTGGACAATACATGTATCCGTTTTAGCACTAACGAAAATTATATATACAGTGCGCCCTCCAATTCGAGAACCCTCTAATACCGAGACCCCTCTAATTCGACCCTTTTCCAAAGACCCAAATAACAATCTTCAACATTTTAACACAAAGCTAGCCCTCTAATTGGAGACCAATCCCGAGACCGCCCCAAATGTTCAAGTCCTAAAGGTGGTCTTGAATATATATATATATATATATATATATACATTACATATATATATATACATTATATATATAATGTATATATATATATAAAATGTATATGTATATATATGTATACATGTATATGTATATATAAAGGCCTGAAGGAAAAATATATTCAAATTGAAGTGCGAGAGTGTAATTTCCGGCCATCTAGAGATGCCCTAATCATAAATTTTCTTACCTCAGCCCCAACCATGGTGGGGCTGAGGTGGGTGGTTCCTCAGTCTGTGAAAGCCCCTCCCTGGTTCACCTCTCTTTCGAATTTCTGGATCTGCCACTGTTGATTTATTATATAATTATTTTTTCGCTTATTTAAAATGCGTCTATTGCAATTTTCCCTTTATCCTCTCAAACAGTCCTAAGAACGTTCAGAGTGCGCTACTTCACAGGGGGATTTGACCCCGCCGGGGTCATACGTAATTCGCATAACGGCTCCCCCCCCCCTTTCAAAATCCTGGCTACGTCCCTGGGCAACGGCCAGACATGGGGCAATCATTAGGTATTCTGCAGTTGCAACTTTTGGTCTTAGGCTGCTCGGTTTTCAGTGATAAGGTTGTTTTATTTTGTCCGTCGATGTTTTGTTTGAGGTTCCCCATACAACTGTAGCTAATTTTTATGGTATTACGGTTGAATATTTTGTGCAATAGATCTTTCCTTCTACATCAGATTACGGGAAAACACGGCAATACTTTCGGCTTATACCGAGACGATGGCCTCGGAATCATAAACGCAACGCCTCGTCAAATAGAGAATACAAAGAAAGATCTATGTGCCATCTTCAACAAACACGGTCTAAAAATCACAATCGAAGCCAACAAAAACATTTTGAACTTTCTGGACATAACGCTAAACCTGGAGAGTGGAAAATACATGCCCTACACGAAACCGAATAATACGCCTCTATACGTACATAACAAATCAAACCACCCACCCGGAATCCTCAAGAACATCCCAGAGAGCAT